TGACTGCAAAACCCCCTCCACATTCTGTGGCATTGACGAACCCCACCTACTGTTTCCCATGTGCTGTTGATATCTTATCTGCGCCCTTACCTTCTGGGCAAGAGAAATTGCATGCATTTATGCACTTATCCAATTAATATACTGCCCAGAATGCTCTAGACACTATGCGAGGTGCTCAGGATAGAAGCATAAGAAGAAGATTGGGATTGGGATTGTTGATGTTGAAAAGCAGAATTTGTAATTCCCAACTTGCTACCATCCCCCAAAGATGAATTTCCATGCCCCCAGATGTTTTGCTGATGTCTGAAAACTTTCTCTGCTGAGCTGGCGTAGCTGAGCATCCCAAGGGCAGGGGAGCTGCTGTATTGACCGAACTCCTAGCAGGGTGCTTGGCACATAGTAAGTCTCAACTGACCTATGACTTGAGTTGATTTTCTAATCCATTTACAATTTCTGGAGGAATTCACATCAGCATGTATTATAGTTCAGCTAAAATAAATCCAGTTTGTTTTTTCCTGCTCTGCCTAAACTTTAGCACAGCCAGTACTGCCATGCTGGCTTTGAAAAGGGTCTGCCTTAGTTTCCTAGGGCTGCCACAACGAAGCACCACAAACTGGGTGACTTGAAACAAAAGCTGTGCACTCTCTCACAGTTCTGGTGACCAGAAGTCTGAAATCAAGGCACAAGCTCTGGGGAGAATCTGTTTCCGCCTCTCTCCTAGCTTACGTCGTTGCTGGCAGTCCTTGGCCTACAATTGCATACAGTCCAATTTCTGCCTGTCTTTCCATGGCGTCCACCTCTGTGTGTCTTCTCCCCTTTTCCTCTCTCATAGGGACACCTGTCATTAGCTATAGGGCCCATTCTCACCCAGGATTTCACTTCTCAGTGTCCTGCACAATTATAACTGCAAAGACCTTTACCTAAATAAGGTCATGTTCACAGGTTGTGAATGGACAGATCTTTTGAGAGTCTACCATTCAACCCAGTACAAGGTCCTAACATTTCCAAGTGAATTACTGGGAGTGGCAGTTGCCTACGAAACCATACACAGGATACCCCAAACCAGACAAGGACTACTGTGGGGTCAAATGGGACTTGGAACTAATCAGTCACATAAAACGTATGAATAAGTCTTAAAATCTAGCCAATTGATCCACCCCTTCTAAACCAGGGGGATCAGGTTTTTAGCCAGATTGTTCAGCCTTTCATCCTCATTTTTGTTTCTTCTCTTGGCTTTTTTATTTCAATGGCAATATGGTGGGCATTTGGGATGATGTCACCTGAAGCTTTCTTTTACTCATTGAAGTAGAGGAATTCCTAATTCTACTGTTTATGCTCTTCCCTCTCTGATATTCTGCTCATATCTTTCTTTTCATATCTTTTTCCTGCCGAAGCTATTCATAACCTTTTAGGGTTAAGCAAGAACATGAGGCCTCCCTCCTTACGTCTAACCTGTCCTCTATTAATCTCAGTTTAAGCCCTCACCAGAATGCCCATTAAGAAGATGCCAATTCCTTCTTATGTGGAAACAGAATTTCAAAAGAGAACCCCTATGAGAAAGAAAATATACACTTCTTTTTTCCTTATCTTTGCATATGCCCTTATCAAGAATATGTACTCCACGCTGGCCAGCGTGGTTAAGTTGGTTGGACATCATCCCATGCACTTAAAGATTGCTGGTTCAATTCCCCTTCAGGGCACATGCTCAGGTTTCAGGCTCGATGCCCAGTAGGGGGCGTGCAGGAGGCAGTGGATTGATGTTTTGCTCTCACATAGATATTTCTCTCTCAAAAAAAATTTAATAAAAAAATCATTTTTAAAAAGAGAATACATATTCCACCACAAAAATAATGAGAAATCCCATTAAGTTTCTTTTGAGGATCCAGTTTGAGTAAGCCTATGTGTGAACTGGATCTCAGAGTAAAATGACTCTTCCTTAATGAAACCCGCCTGCTTACTTATCCAGCAGCCTTGACAGGCAAAACAAAAAGTAAAATAGCAAAGCCAAGCCTTGGACCTGGTATGAGCTCCTGAGGGTGAGCCTCTCCTCCTTTGCTGATCAATTTGACATGTTTCGTGACAGCTGAACAAACCAGAAAAAAAGATTGTTGGGGAAATTCTGGAGACTGAGTTTATTTATTTATTCCCCCCCAGAGGATAGCTGTCACCACTTGCACAAGGTTTTATCACCTTAGAACCTCTGCCAGGATGGGACACGCCCAGGTCTGAGCTGATGGGCTGTACTCTCTTTGCTTGTCATGAGCAAACTTGATCATTCTAGTGATCTTAACCCTAAGCTTCTTTCTCACCCATTACTTCAAGTCCGGTGGATAAAAGACACAAACTAGATTTTCTTCTCTAAGCAGACAGATCATTGCATCACCTCAGGGACACCTTCTTCAGAGAGGATGGTAAGGGGAGAGTACCTTGGTCTTTGCCTCAAAATATTGATTTAACCAAATCTTTCTGTTACTCTCTTCCTGTGATATCTGCTCTCCAGCACTTTGCCAAAGCTCACCTTTGTTTACATTAGGCAACGTGCCTTTTGTATCTTATGTTCTATTTGTTCATAAATTTCTATCGTTGAACTGAGCATTACACCCTAGCAAATGCTTCACAAAGATCTATTTGTAGCTGAGAACTGATTTTTCCTTCAAAAAACTGTCCAGAGCCAAGGACAGCGGCATAATAGAGTGTTTCATAAATCCTCCCCATATTGTTATTGTCTTGACAATGTTGATTCAGAGTTGCTTCTGAGATTATTAATTCCACGTGTATTCAGACAATAATCCCTCCTGTTATAAAGACACCACAGGAAAAAGCCAACAACAAAATCATACACTAAGTGGTTCTAGTGATTCTGTTTCTTTACATCAATGTGTTTGATCGCAAACAAAAATCTGGGGGCCAATTAGTACACATTTCCTCAGGGCACCTGGGAGCCGGTAAGAGGCGAGACCTCTCTTTTCTGGTTTCCCCTAATCCTTCTGCTGCTTGTTTTCATTAGCTGGGAAGGCCATTAAACATTATGTAGGCCAAGCAGATTTCAGACTCCCAGAGATGGGCTTCCTTTGGCCCATCAAGAAAGCTCTTTCAGAAATGTGTTTTGAGCCCTTTGACACACTCTGGGCATCATAAAGTCCTGCTGCTTTCCCTCGCTTCCCTCCCCCTCGGTCCTCTCTCCCCTGTACGCCCTCTCTCTTACAGCGAGTTCCCTGTTTTTAGCTGAGTCACAGCAGCTGGCTGGCACCTCCAGGGTCATACTGTACGTAACACAGAATCCTCTCTGTTGGCTACCATGGTGCTTCAAAAGAGGGGCTGTGGCAGCCGCTGCAAAGCATCCTGGGTACTCCAGCCAAGCCCTTCTTTGAAGCCCAGAAGCAAGCTGCTGGCAGGAGCCTGGGGCCGCTCGGGGATCCAAAGTTCCTGGCGAACATGGCTCCACTGAATCCCAGGGCTCCTGCTGCAGCTGAGATGCTGCTCAGAAGCAAGCCCTTAAGAAATTCAGAACAAACTCCAGACGGACAGAAGCAGAGTCATATGGCCTCTCAAAGCCAATGGCTGCCAGGAAAGAGTCTTAAAACTGCCAGAACCTTGGCAAAGGGCCTCGAGTTCTGCCGGAGGGTGAATAGTGGGGCTGGAGTGTTGGTCACATTCTCCTTTTGCAGTCAACTGGCTTGCGCCTGGGCACAGGAGCGCACATATGGAAGCGTGGAGCTGCAATACATCACTTTCTCTCCTGAAAATAAATGCTGGCCTGTTTAAGTAAAAATATACCCGAACCAGGTGGAACAATACAGATTTTCACGGTTAAAAAAGCAATCTTCTGGCTTTCAGATCCTTATAACTAGACTGCTCCCCACTTCCAAAAAGCTGTCTGGAGGCTGAATATTTTACAAACTGTGGCCTCTATAGCCCGCAGGTCGCTTTATTTGTTCTTACTTCCCACTCCTCCCCACGATATTGATCCCTCTCTGATTCTTGTTCTATGAAACAGTCTTCTTTTATGAATAATTTATAAACCGAATATGCTAATGAGCTAATGAAGAGGAGGAGGAAGAGGAGAAGGAGGAGGAGAGTAAGTCAGCAGTGCTCTTTCTGCTCTTGGGGTGAGAAAATTTGTAGATGCTTATTAACATTTCTTAAATGTATGTGTGGTTCCCGCCCCCCCGCCCCCCCGCCACCCCCCCCCACACACACTCTTTAGCTTCAGAGTAAACATAAATGGAGAAGCAATTGAACCCAAGTGGCAAATTTTAAATCCCTAAGAAGCCCTGTGTCACATTCAAGGCCTGGTTTGTAAGGAAAGTCAAAACAACTTGGTCTCTGCCACTCTACCTGCCACACAAACCCTAAATGGTAGAAGGATTTAAAAAGGTAAAATGATATGAGGGTAGCAGTCGCATTTTGTAACTTTATGACGATGCTAATACAAATTTATAAAGCCGGATTATTTACTACAGCCATGGTATGTACAATCACAAACTAAAGCCAATACTAAAAACACAGAAACAAAGCACACCATTTCAAAACATTGACCTTTTTTTTTTTTTTTCAATTAAAAGGCTCAGTGAAACACAAAAGATGGGATATTTCACTCAAAAGGCACACTTTTAATTAGGGTGGTTTTCTTCAGCTGTCAATGCCAAAGAAATCCAAAGTTAAGCAAAAGTATCACAAGACAAAGAATAGCAAAGGAAAAAGTGACATTGCAAATGAACCCCTGAGGAGTTGCCAGTAATTGCTTTTCTGAGAAGTTAACACCTAGACTATGTGAGGGAACAGGTTCATCTTGGATTCAATGTGTTAAAATGTTTTTATTCCTGGTTAAGCCATTTTTAATAAACAGAATAAATTATAATTGATTTGCTAGAAGTCAGATAATTCATCAGTGCAACAGGTGTAAATATTTTAGAGAACATGGCCAGCCTGTACTTATTTTAAAATTCCGAACTATATTTCATCCCTTATAACAAAATCTATATTCTTTTAATCTTAAGGAACCTGATCGCTGAAAGGCAAAATTGAAATGAGAAAAAAAATACAACTGTCCTATGAAGAATGGCACCAGTTGAGAAACAAAATGGAAAAGTATATACAGAAGAATAAATACAGTGGAACCTTGGTCCTTGCACTTAATTCATTCTGGAAGGCTGTTGGAGAAGTGATTTAAAAAAAAAAAAACCGAGTCAATGTTTCCCATTAGAAATAAGGTAAATTGAATTAATCTGTTCCATACCCCCCAAATGATTTCCTGTTGTAACATTTCTTATACACAGCCTCCCCATGCCTCCCTACACTATAAATGCCACTTCTTTTCTTAAATTTATCGAACCATCCCCTACTAGCCTTAAATGAATCACTTTCTAGAGTGTCTTTCAGGAGGCCAGAATAAAGCCTTTTTCACTTTTTCACATATTATTGCCTCTGAAATGCTAGCACCAGCTCACTGGCTAACTGCTTTTTGTTTATCCAAATCAACATTTTTTTTTTACCTCTTCAATGGCCTGAGATCCTTGTTTCATTAGCACTTTCACACCTTTAGCAAAATCAGCACTCTTGATGGACTCTTTATGTTTTTAAACTGTACTGTCAATCTCACCATGCCATACTCGGTAGCCAGATCAGACATGTGAACACCTTCATCATATTTTGCAATTGTTTCTTTTTTAAGCTCTATCATTCCCACAATTTCCTTTTCACTTTGCTGCTATCACTAACCTTCTTAGAACCCATAGTGACTGATTGTATGTATCTATATTATAAAAGGCCAGTGGCTGTAATGCCAGAATGCCAAAACGACCAAATGACTGGTCACCAGGAAGTGCATTGATGGGTCCCACGGTGTGGCAGTCTGGGTCTTGCACAATTTTGCATGCTGGGCCTATAGTTTAATGATAATAAGCAGCAACAAAAGCAAAAACCATGAAAAGATTCACAGCACAATTTCCTGAGATGTTAACAACTTGAGGTTTAGTGGTAAACAAACTCATTTTGGTCCATTCTCTCCTTTGTCCCCTGAGAGACATGTGACTGATCATACAGGTATTGGCATGAAAGGGTTGTCAGGTTGAGAAGTGGAGTTTTGTTCCACAACTGAGATATTTCTCCATGAACAGTGTGGTCTATCATTTCACCAATGTCACACTGTCTTGTTATAGATTTAGAATAAGTCTTATAATTAAGGAGCAGGAGTTCTTCAACTTTCCTTCCCTTTTAGGATTTTTTGGGGCTATTCTAGTTCCTTACCCTTTTATATAAATTTTAAAATCAGCTTATTCACATAAAATTTTTTAAATAAAACTTTTCTGAGATTTTGATTCCGATAGTGTCAACTAAATAAATCAAGTTGGCATCTTAACAGTATTGAGTCTTTCAATCTACAAAACACATAGCTCTTCACTTATTTAGATCTTTAAAAAATTTCTTTCATCATTGGGTGCTTTTTTGTAGCTTTCAACATAGAGATTCTGAATGTATTCCTTTAAATCCTAGATAATAAAAGGCTAATATGCAAATTGACCCAACGGTGGAACAACTGGTCACTATGACATGCACTGACCACCAGGGGGCAGACGCTCAATGCAGGAGCTGTCACCTGGTGGTCAGTGTGCTCCCACAGGGGAGCATCACTCAGCCAGAAGCCGGGCTCACAGCTGGCAAGCGCAGCGGCGGTGGCGGGAGCCTCTCCTGCCTCCATGGCAGTGCTAAGGATGTCCCAGTGGGCCTAAGCCATCAGTCGGACATCCCCCAAGGGCTCCCGGACTGTGAGAGGTCACAGGCCAGGCTGAGGGACACCCCCAGGTGCATGAATCTTGTGCACCAGGCCTCTAGTTTATATATAAGTGCTTCATTTTTTTTTTCATGATATAAAATGATGTTCCTAGCTCTGTATGATCTTCCAGTATGGGTCAGCCTGGTCCTCTATGGAGGTTCTTTCCTGGCCTTTGATCGTCTCTGCAGATTTCTATAGATTGTCAATTTAGCTCTCTGTGTGGCACCGCCCTTTTCTGTGCAGCTCTACTTTCTTCAATGCTGTGCCCTCTCCACTTTCTCAACTCTGTCTCATGGACTCAGAGATCCTGCAGGTTCTGTTTTGGGTCTCCCTCCCTGCACTGTAGCTGGGAAACCTTCTCCAGGCAGGGAGCTGGGGCACATGGCTCTGGCCTAGTTTGTTCCTCAGTCTGTAGTGATTCCTGCAGTGCATTGCCTGTTAACCAATGTCTGAAAAAGCACTATTTTATATGTTTCCATTCCTTTTTATCATTGTTTAAGACATGAGGTAAATCTAGTCCCTATTACTCCATTGTGGTTGGAAAGAGAATTTTCCACTACAGCTTTCAACATGAATTATATGTAATACAATTGTACAATATAACCTTTCCCCTCTGCCTTTGCTTCAGGCACATATAACTTCATTCAATCTTTTATATATACTAAGCTAACTCCCAAGGGGCCTTGTACATAGTCTTTTCTTAACATGCCTTTTCTCCTATTGTCTGCTCAATTCCTACTCATCCTTCAGATTACAATGTAGTCATCATTTTTACAGTGGTTCCAACTTCCCAAAGTTGTCCAATCCTACATCTTTATCACATTTACCTCATTTCTAACTTTGCACTTATTTATATAACTATTAGAGGCCCAGTGCATGAAATTCATACACTTGGGGGGGGAGGTGGGGGCATCCCTCAGCCTGGCCTTCACACTCTCACAGTCCGGAACCATCAGTCAGACATCCTTAGCATTGCCACAGAGGCTCCTGCCACTGCCACTGCGCTCATCAGTCACGAGCCCAGCTTCTGGCTGAGCGGTGCTCCCCCTGTGGGAGTGCACTGACCACCAGGGGGCAGCTCCTGCATTGAGCGTCTGCCCCCTGGTGGTCAGTGTGCATCATAGCAGCCGGTCATTCCGCTGTTCAGTCATTTTGCACATTAGCCTTTTATGATATAGGATTTGATGCATGTTTGTTTCCTCCTCTAAACTGTAATGCATGTTGGAGCTATGTCTATCTTTGCCTATCATTTTATCCAATACAGTGCCTGCCACATAGTGGGTGCTCATCGAATATTTGTGTGAACAAATTGAGATCACTTCCATATTTGTCTTTTGTGTCAAGTTTCATTAATTCTTGTATTTTCTTTTATGTGCAATACATCAGTAAGTAATTACAGCTTTCCTCCCATCAAATTAAAATTTTCCATATCTCACCAAAGCAAAATTAACATAAAGGGCAACTGTTCTTTCAAATTGTAATAACATTCACTCTTTGGAGACAACTAATTTAAATCTTATTGTTAAATAAACTATTGATAGGAGAATTCTGCAACCATTTAGTGCTCTTAAACAGCCATTTGCTAATCACAGATGTAATAAAACACAACTTGGCACAATCAGGCAAACAAATTGACTCATGAGGGATATCAGATATTCTCGCTTCCATTTTGTTTTCATCTTTCCAGTTTGTTTGAAAACTCATAAAAACCATATGATGACTTTTTGAATAAGACAAGTGGTAGTTCCATGTTGACTTTTTGTCCCTGATAGTTTGACTTTTAATTTTAGAGCTGTGATCCTGGTATCACAAACACCCCAAGGAGATATTTTGCATTACAGCTTACATTAGGATGGCTAATTGTTTTTGTTTTTTTTATTCCACGGTTCTCTATGACTTGCATTTCAAGTCTATTTAAACGTGGACCTCCAAAATGACTTATTTGATAAGAGTCATTTTCACTTTCATTGAAATAGTTGCCAGAGCCCCCCTGGATATTTTCTGTAATTTCAGAAAACACACACAAATTGATTTATTTCTTCTCAATTTTTTTTTTAATCTCTCTAAAGTTAGTCATTACTATTTTTCCACTTAAGATAAAGACATCTTTAAATACAGCAAATGCTCCCAAAGTTAACAATACAATTTGAGATCCAGTGAGAGATACATAGAAAAGATTTTTCTTCCCTTTGCTTTTGTTTCACTATCTGAAAAAATCTGAGCAATAATTGCTACTTACTTTCCCAGCAGAGAAATTATGATGATGATTAAAATAATATATGTAAATTACTTTGCTGTCAGAAGCCCTGCATACCTGTGTAATATAGTGTGCACTGCTAAAAACTCATATTAATAGACTTTAAATTTTACCTTAATGCTCAAGTAAGTAATTCCCACATAGTTCAATGTTACTGGCTCTGATTTTTCTTTTTTAAGTAGGCAGGTGTTGCTCTAATTAATTTGAATGGACACAGATTTCAAATTGCTCCTGTAAGAAAGCATTGCTACTTTAATGCTACTGATATTAAACATAGAGGCTTATTCTCATTTCCACAGGACTTCTACCTGCTCTGAATGCAGAATTCTTAAACATGCTGACCTCCTCATAGAAATGAGACATTTCAGGCAATGTCATAATGTGAAGAACTAGGGCTTTGGAGTCAAACGTCTCTGGATTAAAATCCCACCTTTGTCACATATTAACCCTGTAATCTAGAGCAAGTCCCTTCTTTCCTCTGTGGGACTATGTTCTCTCTGTGTCACATGGGTGATAACCCTGCTGGGTTTGCTTCATGTGACACACTGAGTGCGAACGGGATGCTCATAGAATGGCAGTTATCATTGTTGCTGAAAACTGCACTATCCATGCACTAGTGTGATGTGGCATTGATAGCTAAGGAAAAACCCAATATTTATAGATGGTTTGTTGTGTTTGGTGACAATGCTATATAGGCATCCTTTTTGTGCTAATTCTCACAAAACTGTAATGTTGTCATTTTATTCCCCATTTTGCAGATATGGAAACTGAGGCAAAATAAAGTAATTTGCACCCGGGGGAACCAAGGTTTGAATTTAGATCTGTTATATATCAAAGTCTGAGCAATAAGCCTTAATTCTGAAATAAAACTGCTTCATATTTTGCTTAATTTTTTTTTAATTCAAGAAATGGTACATGTGAGTATCTATACTTAGGTATATCTTTTTTTCTGTACCCAGGTTTCTTTTGTTTCCTATGGCATCATTCTAACAGCTTTTGGGAAAGGAAACAATCTTGTCGTTTTGGTTAAAGAGAAAAACATAGGCTAGCTTTCAAATCTGCTTACGTATAGATGTATTTTTTTCTATAATTTTGAACATTTATTCATTATCATCAGTTATCACC